GAAAGAAGTCGGCATGAATATAACGATGGTCGGGATCGACGAGTGTTACTACGAGAACGAGGTGTGCGAGGGCAGTTGCACGAACACGTTGGACATCAGCAGCCTGCCGTACATGGTCAATGCGAACAGGACCGCCCTGGTTGGTGTACGAGTGGACGTGATCGCCGAGTGTACGTGCGGTGCGCGGAATTTTAGTAAAGGAGAGTCGTGCAGGAGCAGCCCTTGTTACAACGGCGGTCGTTGCGTGGAGGGTCGATTTGGATTGTCGTAAGTGTCTGACGACTCGAGTGACATAACAAGACGTATTGCACGCCTGGTGTAATTCACTCGACGTGATCGTAGGTGTCAATGTCCTGCCGGATACAACGGGCCGAGGTGTCAGCAAACGGCAAGAAGCTTCCGCGGCAATGGATGGGCTTGGTATCCAGCGCTGGAAATGTGCGACAACAGCCACCTGAGCTTCGAATTCATCACTAAAAAACCGGACGGGTTGCTGCTGTACAACGGTCCCATTGTTCCTCCGGAGGCTGACGAGATCATGGTTTCTGGTAAGTCGCTTTTTCTATGTTCTCTACCGGCAATAGAAATAAATCCTTGCAATTGTTCTGTCTGATCGCAGATTTTATATCCGTCGAACTGGAACGTGGAATACCTCGGCTACTGATAGACTTCGGTTCCGGTACACTGGAGCTGAAGGTGAAACCGAAGCGAACGTTGGACGACGGAGAGTGGCACAGGCTCGACATCTTCTGGAACACGGAGGTCAGAAATTTAACGCGAGAGAAACAGGCGGCTACGTGTTGAACAAGTACATGTACTGAAAAGCAATTGTTCCATCTTCTGCAGACAGTGAAACTGATAATCGACTACTGCAAATCGGCGGACATCTCGGAACCGGAAGACGGCACACCGCCGGAATTCAACGACACCAGTTGCCAGGCCCAGGGCACGATACCGCCTTTCAACGAGTACCTGAACGTGAACGCGCCGCTTCAAATCGGTGGCCTCTACGTCGAGCAGTTCGACCCGACCCACTACAAGTGGAAGCACATGCCAGTTGGCAAGGGTTTCGACGGTTGCATCAAGAATCTGTTCCACAACAGCAAGCTTTACGACCTAGCTCATCCCGGCTTGTCGAGGAACAGCGTGGCCGGCTGCCCTCAGACCGAGGAGATCTGCAACAACCAGGAGTCCACGTTCCGTTGCTGGGAACACGGCACTTGCGTGGGCAGCTTCACCGAGGCCAGATGTCAATGCAATCCGGGCTGGACCGGTCCAGGATGCATGACGCCCACTATACCGACGACCTTCAAGCCACAGAGTTACGTCAAGTACGCGCTCTCGTTCGAGCCGGACAAATATTCCACGCAGGTGCAGCTGAGATTCCGTACCCGGGAGGTCCATGGCGAGTTGTTCAGAGTTAGCGACCAGCATAACAGAGAATACGCCATCTTGGAGGTAAAGCAGTGTTGCAAATTAATGTTACAAGCGTAGAGCGTAGCAATATTGTAAATAATATCATAAAAGTGGAATTACGTAATTTGCAATCGTGCAGAGACTTGAAATGCTTCTTTCAATTTTTAGATCAAGGACAGCAGACTGCACTTCCGGTACAATTTGAACAGCCTGAGAACCGAGGAACGAGACATATGGCTGACTGCGATAGCTGTCGACGACGGACAGTGGCACACGGTTAGAGTGTCAAGATATGGATCGGCTGCCACCTTGGAGTTGGATGGTGGTGAAGGAAGAAGATTTAATGAAACCTTCTCGTTCGAAGGACATCAATGGTTATTGGTTGACAAGCAGGAGGGTGTTTTCGCGGGTGGCAAGGCTGAGTACACTGGAGTCCGGACATTCGAGGTGTATGCAGATTATCAAAAAGGTAAACGTTTCACCTTATCAAACTGGATAATACATCTTAATGAGTTAATTGAACGGTTGATTAATTGATACACGATTAATACATAATTCTGATGCAAATACAACTTCTTGTTGCAAACAGGATGCTTGGATGACATAAGGCTAGAGGGCAAGCATCTCCCGTTGCCACCAGCCATGAATGGAACGCAATGGGGTCAAGCAACGATGGCGAGAAATTTGGAGAGGAACTGCCCCTCGAACAAACCTTGCGCCAACGTCATCTGCCCGGAGCCATTCGAATGCATCGATCTTTGGAACGAGTACGATTGCACGTAAGTGTTGCAACAACTGTGGAACACGATATTTCAAAGAACAAATCATGCAACTGTCATTTATTTGATATCGTGCGATAATCTTGAATGGCAGACTCACTCTGCATACATGTGATAAATTGTATACATATTGTACCGTTGAAATTCATAGATGCGGAGAAGGAAGGATTCCATCGCCTGATAACAAAGGATGCATGGACAAGAACGAGTGCATAGATTATCCTTGCTTGAACGGCGGTAGATGTATCAATCAGGATCCCCGCTTCAGATACAGGTGTATCTGCCCGGACGGTTTCTGGGGTGAGAACTGCGAGCTTGTTCAAGAGGGGCAAACATTGAAACTCAGTATGGGAGCATTGGCAGCTATCTTGGTTTGCCTTTTGATCATCCTTGGTAAATATCGTATAAATCTAGAATGCATCGAAAATACTCAGAAGGATGCTCGGTAACCCGTCTTGCTTTGCAGTTCTCGTTCTAGTGTTTGTCGTCTACAACAGAAGACGAGAGTCTCACATCAAGTATCCTGGGCCTGACGACGACGTGAGGGAAAATATCATCAACTACGACGACGAGGGTGGCGGAGAGGACGACATGACCGCGTTCGACATTACCCCGCTTCAGATTCCTATCGGTGGCCCGATACCAGAAATGGGTGGCAAACTACCACCGTGTAAAATACCCTGTAAGTGACATTACTGTACCTTCTTCTATATTATAGTAGAAGATTGCAGAGTAACATCCTCGCACATGTTGATATCGATTCGATTGCAAATACTAATTTACAGATACACTAGGACCGGAGCCGAACGTGGGCATCTTCATAGAAGACCACAAAAAGAGAGCTGACAGTGATCCAAACGCGCCACCGTTCGACGACCTACGAAATTACGCATACGAGGGTGGTGGAAGCATCGCGGGCTCGTTGTCATCGTTAGCTTCCGGTACGTACGTTAGCTTCTGTCCGGCAGAGACACTGGCAGAAGTAGGATATGTATCCGAGTCGTTATTATCGAAAAATCAACAGGGACAGACGACGAGCAGCACGAGTACGAGTACTTAGGCGCTTGGGGGCCGAGATTCGACAAGCTGGCCGACATGTACGGGCCGGCAGAGGAAAGCGAAGAGGAGGACTAAGGGAAAGCAGTCACGAAGAACCTCTGCGACCCTTAAGCTCAGTGTTCGCACGAGCTTAAAGAAAGAAAGAAAAAAAAAAA